AGTGGGATATGGCTACCACCTCTCTGGGAAGTGGAGTACCTATGCTGACAGGAGAAGCAGGTAGTGTTTTCACTAAGCACTACAGCAGAGCAGATGAAGCATTTTAAGTGTAGACCCACCCTCAGCACCCAACTTTGCTCTGCTTCTATCCTGTGTGTGGGGAGATGAGGCAGCATGGAGGGAGTCAGAGGATACAGAAGAGATGAGAGGTCTGAAAGCTCAGCACTGGGAGCTTTGCCTGGGGATTTGAGAAGGAGAGGCTGTGAGTGGGGAGGCAGCCCCTCATCACATCTCCCCATAGCAAAGGGCCTGGGGAAGCAAGAAAAATGTGTGTTTGGGGAAGGGGGAGAAAGCAGGAGGCAGTGTAGGCTGGAGTCCCCTCTTTCACCATTGGGGTTTATGGTGTTCTCCTCTAATGGTTCTTCTCATTGGCCCTGTAATTCTGTAGTGGATCTGTGCACTGGAACCCGTACTTTCCACAGGGCTATGGGAAAGCTCATTGCGTCAAGATGAGCAGTGGGAGTTGTGGACAATTTCTCTAAGAGAGAAGCCCATAATGCAGGAGCCAGAGGGGCTGTAAGGGGAATGTAGGAGAGCAGGAAAATAGGGGGAGTAGGGCTATAGGAGATTGCAGTATCACCAACCCTGCAAGTGCAAAAATAAATAAATAAATCCAATAAATCCAGGAAACTGCTTTAAAAAACAAGAGATTTTTTTTTTTAAACTCCAGTTATATGGTGCTTCAATTTCAGATCCCGATGAGGTGTGTTTGTTTGTGGGGGGGAGGGGGCGGGCGGGGGAACCCACATTGACAATTCATATTCCATTTGTGATCCACTATAACTCCCAGCTCCTTTTCAGCAGTACGACCCCCTAGCCATCTATTCGCCAGTTTGGAGTTGTGCATTTCATTTCTCCTTCCTAAGTGAAATACTTTGCACTTCTGTATTGAATTCCATCTCGCTGATTTCAAACCAGTTCTCTGATGTGTCCAGTTAGTTTTGAATTCTAACCCTGCTCTCCACAGTGCTTGCAACCCCCCCACCCCCCAGCCTGTAAGACCCCACTAGATACACTCTCCCAGTCCAACAGCAACCACTGATTACTCAGAGTACAGTCTTCCAACCAGTTGTGCTCCCACCTTACAGTAATTTCATCTAGTCCACATTTCCCCGGTTAGCATACGAGAATGTCCTGTGGGACTATGTCAAAAGCCGGACTAAAAATCAAGATCAGGTCTACTGCTTCCCTCCTATCCACCAGGCCAGTAACCCTGTGCAAGAAGAGAAATAGGTTGTACTAGCTGATGGTCATGTCATTGTAGTAGGCAGGCCATTCATCTGGAATTACACCAGACAGCCCTGCTTTACCAGGGTTTGTCCCCATCCAGTAGTCTGACAAAACAGGACATGGTTTTGTCTGGTATTAAATGAAATACGCCCCTTTGAAGAGTGGGCCATTCTGCCCACACTGACGTGACCTCACATACAAGGTCATGGTGGTAGGGGTAGAACAGTGTGCTCTTAAAAATGATATGCCTGTGCAGTGTGAACTTGCATGCACCATGCATCCAAGGTCATGGGTGAGGGTGGGTTCACATTGGCAGGGGCAGGCCCACCCCTCTTCCCAGAAGTACTGGAACTTCTGGTATTTGGGAATGTGAGAGTGGCCACCCTAGGTTATTGTGAGATGTTTATAAAGTAAACAATTTTAGAGTTATGTAACATGTAGGCTATGATGTTACAAACCTGCTGGAAGTGAAACTTGTCACTGGAGGGGGCATGTCTGAGAGCTGACCCAATCAACATAGGAACAATGTGGACATCCATGGAAAAAGTCTATGACAACTGTCTGGAGATTTACAAAGACAAACCAACCCCAAGAGAGTGTTGGAAGAGGGGGGGCCCTTGGGCTAAGAAACAATAGCCTAGGCTTGTATAAGAGCAGAAGATTGGACCAAGATGTTATCCATTACAAGAGGGGCCTCTCTGTCAGAGTGAGTGTCTTATGAAAAATGGACCCTGATCTTTGGATTGAACAAGTGCTGTAAGGACTGACCACTGGGTGAGAAATATGTTTTAAGATAGAAAAGGAACTGGTTAATAAGTATAAGCCCTAGACTGCATTTTATGTTAGTCTTTTACCTGTAACCTTATGTTTCCAAACCCTTATACTTGCTTTTATTTTAATCATTATCTCAAGCTCTGTTAAATAAACTTTAATTTGCTTTTATTACAGAGACGTCTAAGTGCCTTATGCTAGGACAGCATTGAACTGAGGTGAAACCAGTGAACTGGACAGCACTGCTTCCAGGGAGATAGCTTTTCCCAGCTGATTGATGGTGGGGCCCTTCCCCAATGCCCTCTAGAGGGCACATACCAGCTCCCTCCAGTGGGCACAACCCTCTACTGTGCTTGCACCATCCTGCCCATCTCCTTCTCCTGTACCCTGCCACTCTTCCCTCCAATGGGCACCTCCACGCCCTCCCTGAATATTGACACTACCCTACTCCCTCCCCATGCAAACTTCCCCGACTCCTACCAAGCTGCATCCCCCACTCGAGCTATTGCTCCAGTCCACTCCACCCCCCCC